GCTTGTGGCTTTCCTTCCAACTGCTAATGGCTGGAATAGGCTCACTTTTAATACACTTCAGAAGCCACTTTCCACACTCATGCCCTTACCCTGCCTCAGTCCCTGGCTGAATCTCCAATTCATAATCTCTTTGCTGCTGGTGCCATGTAGGGAGTAAGAACATCGTGTATGCAGCTCGCAGATGAAGTTCTTTCTTGAGAGACAACCAGTCTGTTAGTAAAATGACCATGCATCCTGGGTTGCACCTGTCCCGTGGTCCCAGCATAGTCGTGAACAGAGCTACCTTTCTATTTGCAAGTTCCCTGCTTTGGACAATAGATCAACTGGTCACCTAGCTATTGGCGTCCATGCCTAGGGCACGAATCTGTTGTATTCTTCAGCCAATCTGAGAAAAGCCGAAAGATTACTGCTGCACCTTTGTTTTTCTTTCTTTTTGGTGGCACATAAGGAAACAGAGAAACAGATGATCTCACTGAGTGCACAGATCATAGGAGAAAAGCCACAGACAGTTAGTGGTCCCCTGCGGGCCATCATTCATCCCAGCGCAGCACTAACGCTCATGATGGTATCGCGCACTGTCTGGAGCAGTGATTCATGTAGCTGGCATTGCCTGATGGGAGGAAACTGGTGGGGGAAACCTGGTGGGGGGTCCTGTGAAGGGTCCAGTTACCTCCTCCTCTTCTCTTTCTGCGCATCAGCTACAGACCCGCCTCACTTTGTGAGAGGTTGCAGTTTCTCTCTTAGGCATGTCAGGTAGTCCTAATGCCTGGTGTGGGGGAGGGAGGATAAGGGAGACAAAGGGGCACAGAATCTTTTAGATCTTGCCCTCTTTCAAGTCAGCTCTCCATCTCTTATTAAAAGAAATAAATTATTATTATTTTGTTGTTGTTCCTGAGTTGCTTTTGTGTTTGTCTAATTTTAGAAAAAGTAAAATATTTTCCTCTTACACCTCTGGGAAGAAAATATATCTAAATTTATTATTTTCGTTAGTTTGTTTATTTATTGTTGATTTAAAACATTCACTCCTGGGTCATTTACTGGGTAGATGGGTAAGTGCTGGAAATTCCAGCTTAGAGACTGAAAGGGAAATCCAAGAAGGAATGGAATTAAAATTTAAAGTAATCCCTTTTTATCTACAGTATCCTCCATATCTAATTATCTGTCTACTTCTATTGAATTATCTATCTGTGTATATTTTTTTGATCTTTGTAAGATCTCTCTGAACTTGATAATGGTTGAACTTGTAAGTGAACAAATGATTCTCATTGAGTCTGAAATGATTGAATAGCATTGGTTGAATTTCTACCCTGTAACATCCTTTGAGTTAAATGTACAGAGCGCAGTTCTGTCATTTCACCATCTGTGTGCTCATACATTCCTAATGGGCTGCCCTCCATTAACTTCTGCAGCCTGAATGCAGAGAAAAGTCTTCAAAGCAAATACAATTAATTTTAAAATGTTTTACCTGAGCTCAAACAATTAAGATGATCAGAAAATACTTTAGAAAATTAATAGAAATTAGAACTAGAAACTCAATTAGAATTGTTATTATTGAGTTAAAAATGATGTTGCCAATTCAAGTGGTAACAGTCAGTTATAACCCGAGTTTGCTGATTCGTTTGAATTACGATTGTTTGCCAGAGAGTTTCAGAGCCATAAAAATCAGATAGAAAATCAAGTGTCATTCTCAGTCTTGGGGTTTTCTAAAGCCTTACCAGAAGTTTGGTGACTTGCAGGAGAGCTTATTTTTCTCCTTCTCGTTGAGTCTTGTTCTTGAGGAGTTAGTTCAGAACATCAGAGGCCCTACTGTGTCCATAACAACCCTTATGTATAATTTCCACAAAACTGCTTCCCCAATACATTTAGGTGCATTGCCCATTTTACTGGAGATTTGGCAGGGAGAGAGGAATTGACATCACAGATAGAACTCAGTTGAAATTGGATACTAGATGGAGCTGCTCTTCAAAGCCCCAGGCATTGCCGCTGCTGAGCCTGAATTTCCCATGGGTCAGTTGACACCTCTTTTTCTCGCTGTATTTCTCTTGTCGTCCTTTTTCAGGCCTTCTTCCTTTTCTCTGATCCCTCCCTTTTTGGGTATAAAAGTCAGCCTTTTTCCACTGTAATTCATTTATTCTCTAATTTTATTTTAAGGCAGAGTGACTCATCTCTAATCAGCTTCAACAGCCAAATGAAGTTTGTTGTCTCCATTTGCATGTTCAAGGAAGTAGCCTAATTAGAAATGATCCCTTGTAAGGTCTCTTCTGCCTAAGTTGTGGGACAGTGGCTGTCCTTCCTCATCTGTCTGGAGGTGAGGATGGAAGTGGGGGAGGTGGCGTGCATTCTGGGTACCAAAGATAGAGGAAAGCCAAAACCATCTGCTTTGGGCCAGACAGGGTTGAATCCTAGCCTCTCCTCTTCCTGGCTGGGTGACCTAGGACAAGTTCCTTAAGTTTCCTGAGCCTGTTTCCCCATCTCTAAGGTGGGGGATAATACTACTTTATTGTGAGGTGTGGAAAGAATAGACTGGAATCATACACAACTTGTAGAAAGGATAAAACAGAATGCACCTGGCGAGAGGCAGGCACTTAACAAATGTTAGTTTCCTTTTCCTTTCAACTGATGAACACTTTCTTGAGGGTTACATAGGTAAACATTAAATATTTATAAATTGCATAATTCGAGAAAAATGAAACTTGAAAAGGAATCTTCAGACTTTTTGATGAGACAAATCAACATCATCCCCGTTTGTCTTACGTGCAAATCTATATTTCTGTGTGCTGTGCTGGGTTTGCTTATGATGTTTATGTGGAATTCTCAGCACCGTGAGACTTCTGTGAGCCTAACCTCTCTTCACAGCTTGGTAGAAGTTGTAAATATTAGGTACTGATGGTCTGATTTGAGGCAACCTAAGTGACTGAAGCCTAGAGCTCTCCCTGTGGTATTATTTCCAAGTGGGCTCATCAGAGCTGAATAGATAATGAAGATAGAAACCCTGGTGAAAGCTTTGTGACTTGGTCTGATGGTACTCATACGGCACAGTTAAAATGGAGATGTTACCAGTGGAAAGGACTCACCATCTGTCTCCCATCTAGTGCAGAGCGGAACATACCTTGGATGATTATGTGACCATTGTCAGTTAGGCTGATTTATGCAAAGACGGTGTGTACACATCTCATGCAGCCAGCTTTTAAATTCTAGGGTGCCAGGGTTTGTTAGAAATAGTGGCCGGCTGTGGCCTTGCATAATATTCCATGTTCTCTTAGAGGCACAAAAGAATAGATTAAGAACTTGACAGAAGGTGCTTTTTGCCCCCTGTATAGTCCAGTCAGTTGCCTATGAGTCTACCAAATGTAGCTCGCAACCTCTTTTTGTACAACCCCTGAGCTGAAAATCATTTTTGCATATTTTAAGGGATGATTTAAAAAAAAGAAAAGAAAAGAAAAATATACAACAGAGACCATATGTGGCCCACCAAGGCTAAAATATTTACTATCTGGCCCTTTATGGAAAAGGTTGTTGATCCCCTGGTCCATCCAGAGTGTTTGGAATAACCCAGATTAAAGAAGGCAAAATGTAACGATGATTGACTTTTTCAGCTGTAATCTGATTTGTGACACCCACTCTATGCCATGGGCATTACTTAGGATAAATGTAATTATGTTTCGATATTTGTGTCTTGCTCTCCCTACCTAGAGTTAGGTTTGCCCAAGGAACACAGTCTCTTGTTTGTTGTTCTAGAAGCAGCTCCTATGTCTTTTACCTCTTCTCCAAGGCTTTCACCTGTTGCTTTTCTATCCCAGCTCACCTGTGTGAACAGCATGGAGTTGGGCTGCCATGACACCACGTCCTACCTTTTCTTGAAAGAGGATGGCAGGGGCCAGCTCAGGAAGAACTACTATGGAGTTTTTCACCGTATCCTGCTCGTGATGAGGCTAGGGAGGGATTTTTTTAGCAGTATATTTAATTTTTACTGAAGTATGAACTTGGGGAAGGAGGCAACTGTGAAGCAGTGATGCATAGACTAAGTCTCCTGGAAGAAGCAGGGCTCGAATTAGACCCACGAGGATGTGCACTGTTTGTGGGAGGGCACAGGTACATCAGTACAGGGAACATCTCCTGGTGTGTCCTGCCCAGAGTGGGGAATTTATAGCAGTGTGAGATGAAAATGAGTCAGCATTGTGGCCAGTTTGTTGGACATTTTAAGGTGTATGGAATTCCAAATTCAGTAATCATTGAGGAGTCATTGTAGCTTATTTTAAAAAAGAACAATGTGTGTGTGTGGTGTGGGGTAGGGGAGAGCGAAAGGACAATCATGAAATCAGCTACTGTTTGTTAAACCCTAACTGGGTGCCAGACATTGGGCTAAGGGTGTTACTTGGACCATCTCATTTAATCCTCACAACAACCTTGTGGGGAAGGTATTATCTCTAGTTTTCAAATGAGGAAACTAGGCTTAGAGAGGTTCAAATAACTTACCCAAGGTTCTGAAGTTAATAATGGGCACAGCCAGGATGGCTTTTAACTCCTGCCCTGTTGAAACAAGCTCAATGTAAAACGTTCTTACAAAGCAGAAAAGAGTAAAAAAGCAACCAAAATCCTGCCTTGCAGAAATGCCCACTTTGGGTGAACATTCTTCTAGACATTTGTCTGTGTGTGTATGTGTGTGTGTGTGTGTGTGTGTGTGTGTGTGTGTGTGTGTGTATGCACAGCAACTTGCATGCTTTTTGCATAATCTGGGCCACCCCATACCTGCAAGCTATGACTATCACCATATTCTATATCCTAGTGTTTTCCTCGCACTAACACTAATTTTCTAATGGTCACAACTGGGTGCATAGTATTTTGCTTTAGGACGGTACCCTCATCCACTTAACCAGTCCCTTTGAGATCCTTGTAGGTTTAGATCATTGTAGGTTCTTGTAGGTTTAGATCATTGTAGGTTCTTGTTTTTTTAAAAACAGCTTGTAAACTGAGTCTTGTGCTTTTCCCTTTTTTTGCAGCATGCCCTTGATGCTGACAATGCAGGAGTCAGTCCAATAGGAAACTCTTCCAACAACAGCAGCCACTGGGACCTCGGCAGCGCCTTTTTCTTTGCTGGAACTGTCATCACCACCATAGGTACCCATTCGTTTGCTAACACCTCTTCCTCTGCAGGTCATCTTGAGTAAGGGCGCTTAGTCAGGGTTTTGTCCTCATGGCGTACACTATAGTTTGAGGTTCAGAGGAGGCTTATGAAACACTGTCATTTAAATTAACGCAGTCATTGTGGTGGCTTCCAACAAAAGCCAAAGCAGAATGAAGTATCTCTTTGTCCAGAATGAAAGGCTAGCGAACCTAATGAAAAGGTTAGAATGGAAAATATGAGTTGGTCGGTTGAACTTGGATTACTCATTTGAGCTCAACTGCCATTTGAAAAATTGTACTTCTTATTAAAGTTACAGAGTAAAGAACCAAAATGTTCTACGAAGTTTGTTATAAAAAACAGTCGCATTCTAACCCTCTCACCTTTTCTTACCCTCCCAGAGACTGTCACTTTCATCTGTTTTGATTGTTGATTTTAACGTTCATCCCCATGCCTTTAAATATCATGCTTGTACTACTTGCGCAATTTTCAGTTTTGGGCATTTTTTTTGACTTCCTATTGTGGAAGATGAGGAGTTAGTTCCTATTCTTCCTCCTTGCCTTACCACAGAAGGGCTCTTTTCCTGTCCTCCTGTCTTCCCAATTTTAATTAGATAGAAGTGAAACATCTGCATTGTTTTGACCAGATAAATGCTTTTTGCAACTGATCCTAGAATGAACTGTGATGACTTCTTTCCTGCATCAGTCTTTGTCTTATTTTATTTGTGTGTGTGTGTGTGTGTGTGTGTGTGTGTGTGTTTGTAACACTTAGAGAGTTTTGCATTTTTATCTTAGGGGTTAACTTCATTTATTTATTTACTGATATGGAATTTCACTCTTGTCGCCCGGGTTGGAGTGCAGTGGTGCAATCTCGGCTCACTGCAACCTCCGCCTCCTGGGTTCAAGCGATTCTCTTGCTTCAGCCTCCTGAGTAGCTGGGATTATGGCACCTGCCACCATGCCTGGCTAAGTTTCGTATTTTTAATAGAGACAAGGTTTCACTGTGTTAGCCAGGATGGTCTTGAACTCCTGACCTCAAGTGATCCACCCACCTTGGCCTCCCAAAGTGTTGGGATCGAAGATATGAGCCTTTACACCTGGCCTAGGGGCTAACTTTATAAGTATAATAGCATATAATAATCTTAGTGTTCTATTTGTTAACCAGTATGTATTCGATCCCTATAATGGGTGATGATATCTCTTCTCTTTTTCCAGTACAAAATTTTAGTGGACATCATCTTTTAAATGATTAAATGTGCTTATGTTTCTCTTATAGGATTTGCCAGCTTTAAATGATAGCTCTTGGCTCTCAGCTATTACATATAATGCAGTCACTGAACTTAGCATCTCAACTTCCTTTCCCTCTTCTGCTATCCATTATTACTCATTGTATCATTCTCTGTAAGTTGTATCTCACTTTATTGTGCCTTGCTTTATTGTGCTTTGAAGATGTTGAGGGTTTTTTTTTGTTTGTTTATTTTTAAACAAATTTGAGGTGTGTGGCGATCCCACACTGAACAGGTCTATTGGTGACATTTTTCTAATGTCATATGCTCCGCTCTGTGTCTCTGTGCTGCATTTTGGTAATTTTCACAATATTTTCAAACTTTTTCACTTTTAATTATGTCTGTTAAGGAGATCTGTGGTCAGTGATCTTTGAGGTGACGATTGTCATTGTTTTGGGGTACCACAAATCGGGCCGCTTTAAGACTGTGAACTTAGTAAGTGCCGTGTGTTCTGACTGTTTCACTAGCCAGCCATTTAGGCATCCCTGATCCCTGAGGCACAATGGGATTGAAATTTGGCTGATTAATAACCCTGCAGTGGCCTCTCAGTGTTCAAGTGAAAGGAAGAGTCAGTGCATGTCTCTCATTTTAAATGTAAATCCAGAAATAATTAAACTTGGTGAGGAAGGCATATAGAACTCCGAAACAGGCCAACAGCTAGGTCTCTTCTGCCAAGCAGTTAACCAAGTTGTGAGTGCAAAGGAAGAGACAGGATCTCTCTCTATCACCCACGCAGGAGTGCAGTGGTGCCACCGTGGCTCATTGCTGCCTTGATTCCTGGGCTCAAGGGATCCTCCCACCTCAGCTCCTTAAGTAGCTCAGACTACAAGTGTGCATCACCATGCCGAGCTAATTTTTTAAAAGTTTTTTTTTGTAGAGATGGAGTTTCACTATGTTGCCTAGGCTGCTCTCGAACTTCTGGGCTTAAGTGATCCACCTGCCTTGGCCTTGCAAAGTGTGGGGATTACAGGCATGAGCCACTGTTCCTGTCCAGGAAAAGTTCTTGAAAGAAATTAAAAGTGCTATTTCAGTGAGTGAGCACAGGAATGAAAAGAAAGTGAACCAGCCTTATTGCTCATATGGAGAAAATTTTAGTGGTCTGGATAGAAGATCAAATCAGCCACAACATCCCCTTAAGCACAAATCTAATCTAGAGCAAGGGCTTAATGCTTTTTAATTCTACAGAGGCTGAGAGAGGTAAGGAGGCTTCGGGAGAAAAGCTTGATTCTAGCAGAGGTTGGTTTGTGACATTTTAGGGAAGAAGGCCTTTTGATAGCATAAAAGTGCAGGTTAAAGTGGCAAGTGCTAAGGGAGAAGCTGCAACACGTAACCCAAAAGGTCTAGCTAAGAAAGTGGCTACACTAGGCTGGGCGCAGTGGCTCATGCCTATAATCTCAGCACTTTTGTGGGCCAAGGCAGGTGGATCACAAAGTCAGGAGTTCGAGACCAGCCTGGCCAACATGGTGAAACCCCATCTCTACTAAAAACACAAAAATTAGCTGGGTGTGGTGGCGAGTGCTTGTAATCCCAGCTACTCGGGAAGCTGAGGCCGGAGAATTGTTTGAACCCGGGAAGCGGAGGTTGCAGTGAGCTGAGATCATGCCATTGCACTCCAGCCTGGGTGACAGGGCGAGACTACATCTCAAAAAAAAAAAAAAAAAAAAAAAAAAGTGCCTGCACTAAACAACAGATTTTCATTATAGACAAAGCAGTCTTATATTACAAGAAGATGCCATCTAGGACTTTCATAGCTACAGAATAGAAGTCAATGCTTGGCTTCAAAGCTTCAGATGATAGGCTGACTCTCTTATTAGGGATAATGCAGCTAGTGACTTTAAATTGAAGCCAGTGCTCATTTACCATTCAGAAAATCCTAAGGCCCTTAAGGATTATGCTAAATTGATTCTGCCTTCCTTCTATAAATGGAGCTACAAAGCCTAGATGACAGCACCTCTGTTTACAGCATGGTTTACTGAAGAGTTTAACCTCCCTGTTGAGACCTACTGCTCAGAAGAAAGATTCCTTTCAAAAGAGTACTGTTCACTGACAATGCACCTAGTCACCCAAGAGCTCTGATGGAAATGTACAAAGAGGTAAATGTTATTTTCATGCTTGCTAACACAACATCCATTCTTCAGCCCATGGATGAAGAAGTAATTTTGACTTTGAACTCTTATTATTTAAGAAATACATTTCATAAGGCTGTAGCTGCCGTAAATAATGATTCCTCTGATGGCTCTGAGCAAAGTAAATTGAACATCTCCTGGAAAAGAGTCATCACTGCAGATGCCGTTAAGAACTTTTGTGATTAAGTGGAAGAGGTCAAAATATTAACATCAACAGAGTTTGGAAGAAGTTGATTCCAAGCCTCATGGATGATTTTGAGAGTTTTAAGACTTCACTTTTTAATTCTGTGGAGGCTGTCACTGCCAGTGTGTTGAAATTAGAAGTGGAGCCTGAAGATGTGACTGCATTGCTATATCTCATGATCAAACTTGAATGTATGAGGAGTTGCTTCTATGGATGAGCAAAGAAAGTGGTTTCTTGAGATGGAATCTGCTCCTGCCTTTAAAGATGCTGTGAATATTGTGGAAATGACAACAGAGGATTTAGAATATTATATCAGTTTAGTTGATAAAGCAGTGACAGGATTTGAGAGGATTGATTCCAATTTGAAAAAAGTTCTACTGTGTGCAAAATACTATCAAATGGCATTGCATGTTACAGAGAAATTGTGAATGGAAGAGTCAATGGATGCGGCAAGCTTCTTGGTTGTTTTATTTCAAGAAATTGTCACAGCCACCACAGCCTTCAACAGTCACCACCCTGATCAGTTGGCAGTCATCAACATCAGAGGAAGACCCTCTGCTAGCAAAAACATTTTGACTTGTTGAAAGCTCAGATTATTATTAGAATGTTTGGCAATACAGCCTTTTTAAGTTAAGGCATATATATTGTTTTTTAGACCTGATGCTATTGTACACTTAATAGATTATAGTAGAGTGTAATCATGACTTTTATATGCACTGGGAAACAAAAAAGAAATTGTGTGACTCACTTTATTGCAGTGGTCTGAATCCTAACTCACAATGTCTCTGAGATATGGCTGTATAAACTCAGGGTATGTAATTTACGTTTTAATCTGTTACCCTGATATTTGCATTCGTTTTCATCATAGCTCTACAGTTAGATATCATGAGCGTTCATCTCTAATCTCTTTGCTTTGGTTTATCTCATGATCACTTACTTGGCTGAAAGTCATCTTCAAGTAGTTGCCTTAAGAAAGGCTCAGGGAAGCAATATTCTGTGAGTTCTTGCATTGTTCACAGTTGTAGCTTAACATTTGAAGGATAGTTGCAACAAAATGTTGACTCACATTTTCCTTTTCTTTTGAGACTGAGTCTTGCTCTGTTGTCCAGGCTGGAGTGCAGTGGTGCAATCATAGCTCACTGCAGCCTCCAATTCCTGGACTCAAGTGGTCTTTCTGCTTCAGCCTCCTGAGTAGCTGGGACTAGAGGTGCATATCACCAGGGCTAGCTAATTTTTAAAATATTCTGTGGAAGCCAGGCCTGTGTGTTGCCCAGGCTGGTGTCAGACTCCTGGCCTCAAAGGATCCTCCTGCCTTGGCCTCCTGGAGTGCTAGGATTACATGTGTGAGCCACCAAGCCTAGCTTCACATTTTCTTTTTAACTGGTCTCACAGATGTTCCTC